TGAGACATCTCTCCAAACCCCTTAATCACTGTATCTTTGCAGTAAGTTTTGAAATTGAGAGGTCCAAGCCTTCCAAATTTGTCCTATTCTTTTCAGGATTGTTTTGCAATTCTTCTCCCTTGCATTGCCCAGTGAATTTCAGGATTGGTTTATCATAGGCATTCCCCTTGTTAGGTTCCAGCTGGTCTGCTGCAGTAACAAATGCCTCAGGGTTTCAAATTTTGTTTGTTTTTTTCAAGACAGGATTTCTCAGTGTAGCTTTGGAGCCTGTCCTGGAACTCTCTCTGTAGATCAGGCTGGCCTCCAACTCACAGAGATCCACTTGCCTCTGCCTCCCAAGTGCTGGGATTAAAGGTGTCAGCCATCTTCACTCAGCTCAGAATTTCAAATTTTAAAATCATGTATCTGACAAGACTCAAGCCTGTCTGTTTGCACTACCATATAGTAGAATATCCAGAACATTGCTGAATTTAGCAGCAGTAGAAAGATAGTGTGGCAGGCAAAGCAATGCTTTGTCCAAAAATGTCTGGGCCCTACTCCTTGGAGCCTCTGAATGTTGTGCTATGTGGAAATAGGTAATGATGGTTGCAGATGGACTTCAGGCTGCTAATCTGATGACCTTAAAATAGAGAGATCATTCTGGATTACCCAGATGGTCCCCATGTCATCTCAACGGTCTTTAAAAGGAAAGCGAAGGCAGATCTGATTATGCCATATATAATGAGAGGTCCACCTTATCTCACTGGCTTTGAAGATGGAGGAAGAATGAGACTTCTAGAAGCCAGAGATAATAGGAAGCCAATTTACCCTAGAACCTCCAGATATAACCAAGGGCTGCTGACGACTTGATTTTAGCTCAAGGAGGTCCACCTTGAGCTTCTGGAGCACAGAAGTATGGATAAGTTTGTGTTGTTTGAAGCCACTGAAATTGTGGGACTTTGTAAATAGCAGCCACAGAAAGTGAGTATGAAGGGTTTGGGGACCCATGGACGTTACCTTCTCTGCCTCTGGTTGGAAGTGGTATGTGACATTTGTACTCCCATTTCATTGGTCAGAACAAGCCACTGGGTGATGTCTAAGTCCACAGGAAGGGAGATGCTTGGCATCCCATAATCCAATCTCAGGGAATCCTGGTACCTGTACGAGTATCTAGTACACCTTTGTTACCTATAGCACTTGTTTCTATATTCTAGTCCATTCCATTCATTAAAAAACAAAAAACAAACAGACAAACAAAAAAAGCACTTAGGAGGCAGAGGCAGTAGGATCTCTGAGTTTGAGGCTAGCCTTGTCTACATATTGAGTTCAGGATAGCTAGAGGTACATTGTGAGATCCTGTCTTGAAAACAAACAAACAGCCCCCAAATATAGTCAGACATAGGAACACACACCTTTAATCCCAGCACCTGGGAGGCAGAGGCAGGAGAATCGCTGTTAATCTGAAGCCTGCTTGTCTGTATTATGAGTTCAGTGAGAGCCAGGACTACACAGTAAGACTCTGTCTAAAAAAAAATCTCTGTGTATTTGTGTACTGTTTGTGTTTGTGCACAAACGTGTGAATGTGTGCATGTGGAGGCTAGAGGTCAACTATGGGTGCCTTCCCTTACCATTTTTCACTTTATTTTTTTGAAACAGGGTCTCTCACTAAACATGGAGCTTTCTCTGAACCCGGAGCTCTATATGTAGGTCAGACTGTGTGGTCAGAGAAGTCCCCAGGATCTGCCTATGTTTGCCTCCCCAGTGCTGGGGTTACAGGTACAACCTGCCAGATCCAGCTTTTATGTGGGTACTGGGGATCTGAACTCAGGTCCTCATGCTTGTGAAGCAAGCAATTTATCCACTGATCAAGTTCCCTGTCCTGTAATGTTTAAAGTAGGCTTCCTAATTAACCAGTGAGTTATAACCTCTGGTTTGGACAATACTAATCTCCAGAGCCTCTTCTGCTCATGCTTCATGGACCACAGGGTATGTCCTGGACACAGGTGATTGGGCCAGGGGGTGGGATACCTAATCAAAGCTGACCAATCAGATTCCTCTCCTGGGAATTTGGAATTGGGCCATTCAGTCAGTTAGCAGCGGGAAGCTGAGTGAGAGGCAGGGTAGAAACAGGGTTGGAGTGTGAGTCACATGCGAGCCCAAAGGATGGAGGAGCAGAAAAATCCCTGAGTAAGCGGGGCGCGCTGGTCCACAGAGACAATGGAGCAGCCGCACAGACAGCCTCGCAGCCAGGAGGCCCTGCAGCCCCAGAAGGAGCGGTGGAGACAGGGAGCTAAGGCTTGAGGCTCCGATGGCGTCCCGATTCCCAGCTCCGGCCCCAGCGCATCCTGCCTGCTCATCTTTCCCGTGAGATTTTGGCCTCCTTATTAGGACCTCCTCTTCTTTCTCTTGAGCTGTCCCGAACCTTAACCAGGAAGGACACTGCTGGTCTTCTTTGGGGAACTGAACAGTGACTAAGACACAGGTTGTGGGGCACAGGCAGGGCTAGGGGTGAACCAGATGCAGCTGCTCATACCTGCAAGGCTTGCTGGGGTTGTGGGGTTAGGTTAGATGGGTGCCAGCCACAGGCAGAGAGGTCTGTGCGGTGTTGCACATGTGGGGTTGTGGAAACTGAAAATACCCCATGGAGCCTCTTTTCCGACAGTGTTGGGGCAAGAGGTGGGTGGAGTTTTCAGTGGTGGTGTTTGGCTGTGATGGACTGGTTGAGCCTGGGGGGGGGGGTGCCTCCTCGAGCCTCCAAGTCTGCGTCTTTGAAATGGGATTGTCAGCATTGTTCTGGGAAAAGTACTTAAAGGCATGAGTGGAGAACGACAAACAGGCAGAGAATGAGGCAGCTGCTCTTGTTGTTTGAGGAAGCCACAAGAGTCCTGGCTTCCTGAAGGAGGTGGCCTCGGGTGCTGACTAAGGTAGTAGCAGGACATTCCCCACTGATGGCTGTGCTTCCTGCCCCTCATCACCCCCACTCTGCCCCTCACCCCAGTCACCTTTCCTTTATTTCTCCCCCCCCTCCCCTCTTGTTTGTTCTTCCTGCCATTTTGAAACATGGATTTAGGAAACAGTGGGTCGATTAAGGCACCAATCCCTGGACGCCCAGTCGTAAGTGGGTCTGGGTCCTGACCTAGCCCCTTGTTTGCTGTGCTCCCAGGCAAGTTAATGCATCTCATGGAGCCTCCAGTTAATTGTCTGTGGACTGGGAGTTAGACTATCCTTTCTATGAGAAATAAGGAGCTGCTTGGCAGAGCTTTGCATCCCCTCCTGTTTGCCTCTCTCCTCTGCTTGGTGAATATTGTTCCTCCTGGCCTCATCCTTCCCACAGCCACTAGAGTGGCTTTCCCTCTCTCAGTTGCCTATGCTGCCTGGGTATGAGATTGTTCCTTTACCTCAGAGCCCAGGCTACTAAGGGATGAGGTGAGTGTGGCTTTGGGGCCACAGGGTTTTCACTTCTCTGGTTTCCTGGAGAACCATGGAGCTCCTAGCTCCTAGCTCCTAGCTTGGTGTTGCTGGTTCAGAGTGGGTGGTCTACATTTTTCCCTTATTTTAACAATTATCACACCCAGGTCAGTTGTGGCATCTTCACACTCCCAACACTGATAAATATTAATGAGAAGAAGAGGCTCCCAGGGTCCCTGGGGGAATGCTTGAGGAGAGGCTGGGCCATGCTCTCCTTTGCAAGCAATATTCAGATCAGACCTGTCAGTATTCCCTGGGTGCCAGAAGAGAGGGTGAGACAGGGCCAAGGCTGTGGAGACCCCGCACAGTCACAGACCTGAATGCCTGCAGATCAGCTTCTGGGAAGGGTTGAGGCACACCCTGCTGGGCCTGCTGGGCTGTTCCACCTTTCTGGGTCTGTCCCAGCTCTCCCTGCTTCGGGCTCTCTGTTTCTTTCCCTGGTTTTCTTTTCCTCATCTCCTGCTCATCTTTTATTCTCATACCTGCATCTCTCTCTCCTTTCTTCACACCTCCCTCCTTTCAATACCTTTCCTCACCCCCATCTCTCTAGCTTTCACTTTTCTTCTGCCTCTCCCCAATAATGACTGAGAAATTGTGGGCTGGATGAAGGTATGTAGACGAGGGAGACTCAGGCTCCCAGACACAGCTCTGGGAGGGGGAAAGGGTTGCCATGAAAGGCAAGTGGCACTCTTCCAGATTTAGGGACTACATTACCATCTGACCTCATGCCCAGTGCTCTGCTGTGTGAGCATAGGCACCTCCCCACATTCCTGTGCCGTGTCCCTCAGTGAAGCAATGCGATTTGTTCATTTATCTGTCAACTAGTATTTATTGCGCTCTTGCCACCTGCTATCATTTAACACATATTTGTTGAATAGTGAGGTGTGCTCTTGTGTGTGTTTGGGATGTACCTGTGAACAGGAGAGAGAGAGAGAGAGAAAGAGAGAGAGAGAGAGAGAGAGAGAGAGAGAGAGAGAGTCCACTGTTTAGAGTGGGCATGCTAGCAGAACAGACAGGTGGGGCAAAAAGTAGAGTATATGGTCAGGGGGTTGCTGGGAAGAAAGGAAGAATGGATCAAGAGAAGGGCCAGGGGACTGGACGACAGGGGTAGTGGGACTGGGAAAGTGGACATTTGGGAAGAGTGTCCAGGATAGGGGGGTAGGGTAAGGAAAACTCGGAGCACAGGCCTTGTGCAGGAGTCACCTGGTGGATAAGGCACAAGGGACAGAGGGACCGGAGAGCAGTGAGGCTGGAGACTACGGGGGAGTGGCAGGCGGCGACAGAGGGAGGGAAAGAGTCCAGGTCAGGTCACTGGGACTTAGCAGGCACTCAAGGATTTTCCTGTCTTCAAGCTGGGTGGACTTGTGAGTCTCCCTCAGCCCACTCCTCCCAGGAGGAGAGGCGGAAGGAAGGAAGCTGTCCTGCTCTGAGGCTTTGCTGGTGCCTGTAGGACCCCCAAGGCCTTTATCTATGGCTCTGTCTCAGGGTCGCCTTCAAGAGATTGGCTGGGCAGCATCCATTAACCCTGGCTTGGCCTCTCTTTCTTTCCACAGAGTGTTCAAGAAGGCAAGCCCCAATGGAAAGGTGAGTCTGTGGTGTGTGCCAACTCCTCACTGTTCCCCACACCCTGGGCTCCCTGAAAGGAAGCAGCATCTCCTGGGAGAGGCAGGCACTGTTAGCTGTCTAGGGCTGACACAGCTCTGTCCTGAGAACCACAGAAGTGTTCCAGGGGGCCTCCCTGGAAATTTTCTGTGTGGGATTCAGGGAGTCCCAGCTGGGGAGAGATGGACTGGCTTCTCGCAAAGAGACATCAGTGTGAGTGTGAGAAACTGAGACAAGTTGGCCACGGTGACGCCATCAAGTCCCCTGGTGAGAGAGGTCATGGTGTCACCTCATCCATCCATCTTTCTTCTGGGACTCTCAGCGTCTGGGCTTCTTGCTTGCTTGCACAGGCTGCAGGCTGTATCCTGTTGTACTCTCTGTTCATCAAGCAGGCAGTACGGACATCTATGCCAGGTCCAGGCTGGGACTGCTGGGGGTCGGGAGGGGATGAGATAAGAGAAGCATGATGCTCACAGGGCAGAAGTTGGATTGTCTCACACAAAATGCCAAGTATGAGATTCTGGGGTGCCCAGGGACTGGAAGACTTTTCCTGGGGTGTGTGTCAGCCATGGCTTCTTCTGGAGGTGACATAATTCTAGGAAAAGCTAGGTGAAGAAGGGGATCTTTAGGGTTGAGCATAAAATCCAAGGAAGTGTGGGGCATCTCAGGCTAGTGATGAAGGAACAGAGTATGCCACAGGGCACATGGCAGGTGTACTGTGGCAGAGCTTAGCAATTCACACACCCTGGGTTGCCTTGTGCATGTCTATATCTCCATTTGGAGTTCATAGTAGGCATCATCAATCATCATTTGACCTTTCCTGCTGAGCCAGGATCTGTCCTATCTTGGATCCCTGGGCAATCCAGGGCCGCAGGCATCCCAGACCAGTCAATTAGATTTGGTACTGAGAATGAAATCAGTCTGTCATCCTTACCCCTGAGGCACAGGAAAATGGTTAAAAGGTTTTCAGAATGGCACAGCTGTCTGGAACAGCTGCTTGCTTAAATTTGCATTTTAGGTGTGGCTAAGGTGATATGAACAGCTGGAGGCTGCCAACTGTCAAAGGGACTGATGTGGTCTCCCTTGAGGAATATGATGGAGTAGAATGTCAGGACTATGGGAAGGCTGAGAAGCAGGTGCCGCCTAGGATGGTGCTCTCAGTTCAGTTTTGAGCCAGTGGAGCTCTATCTGGCTCAGGGCTCTTCCTTGCTAGCTGGTGACTGGGTAAGGAGCTAGCTCCCTGATTCCTCAGGGCCCCAGAAGGAATGTTCTCATGTGAGTGGCTCCCTGCCTAGTTCAGGGTAGGCAGTGCGGAAGAACCCAGGGTCACCATCAGCACCTGCACTGAGCATGTGGCTTTTCTGCCGGACCACAACCCGCCCTAGGATGCCCTGCTTCCTTGTTTTGATCTACTTTCCCTCCAGCCCTCAGTGGGGTTAGGTTTAAAGACCTCCCTGGGCCTCAGTATGTTTGTCTACAAAATGGGAAAAATAAAGACCCTTTCATAGGGGGTTGGGAGGCAGAGGTGCTTACAAAATTTTCAAAGGTCTACTATCATTAATATTAGGGTTGGGATGGGAGGTCATATCTCACCACAGTTCCAGTAAGGATTAGGAATGTGTGTAGGCATCAGTGTTCACTCCAGGGCAGGGTCCTGTGCCATGCTGGCTCACAGCCACTAACACTCTGGTGCTTCTCCTCTCCAGCTCACTGTCTACCTGGGAAAGCGGGACTTTGTGGACCACATCGACCTTGTGGACCCTGTGGGTGAGTACTGGGCAGAGGGCTATGGAGAGTCCATCTCCAGAAGGGTCTGGTACCCAGAGGGCAGAGGGCTAGGAAGAGTCCATCTCCAGAAGGGTCTGGTACCTAGAATGGGTGAGCATGGCTTCCTGCTTCAGGAAGCGAGCTTCTGGGCAGCTCCTCCCTATTCGAGAGAGAGTCTTCTCTTACTGCTGCAAGGCTGGAAGGCGGCCCTGATGGACAGCAGCAGACACAGATTATATAAGGATTATTGTGCAGCAGGAATATCTCCTGATTTCCAGACAGAATGAGGCACAGAGGGACTTAGCAACTTGTTCCAGGTCACAGAGCTAGTGAGTCAAAGGGCCTGGATTCTAGCCCCTGGCCCTGCTGTCTCCTGGGGAAATTCTTTTTAGGACTTCAGAACTAGGGGCTGTCCTCACCTTCATGGGGCTTTGCTGAAGAGGCTGAATCACAGCTAAGATTGGCTCCCAATATCTTGGTTGAGTTTGGGTTTTTTGCCTTTGGAACTGTTGCCATCTTGGTTTGGATTATTCTTGGTTGGTAGCATCCAAGCATCTTATTTGCATGGAAAATAAGATTCCAGGGCACAGTATTGGCTGATGGATGCTTATTTGGGGGAGAATAACTGAAGGATGTTTGCCATCGTCCCTGGCCCTTGTCCATTAGGTACCAGAATTACCCCTATTGCCACCACAGTTAGGACAACGCTAAATGACCCTGTGGAAGTGAATTGCACTCTCTCAGAACAGCTGTTTTTATAGAAGGACATTGGTCTCAGGCCTCTTTTCCTATTTTGTGAGGGAGGGTCCAGAATCACTCTGGTTTACAAAGGGAAGTTCTGAAGCCAGAGAGGTTCAATTATTACTTTTAAAATGGCCATGAACATTCCAGACCAATATAAACCCAGGCCAGGGCCAGGTAAAGAAACTGGGCTGTGTGACTTGGGAAAGTGTCCTAGAGAAATTGCTGTGTTCTGTGCATTGTCCTGGGATAAGTGGGACTCTGGTTCCAGAGTCAAGAGGACAGAGCTTAGCAGCAGGGTTCAGCTCACCAGAGAGAAGACACTTTGTGACTGTAAGCAGGGGCCCTGTGGGCCTGAGCCCATGGGGTGTTGGCAGGTCTGCAAGATGCAGATCCCAGCTTCATTCCGGGCCCCTTCTTTTGTGACCCAGGACAGGACCACTCACTTTCCCTTTCAGGTGTGTAGGTTTTCTGATGTCCCACCATTTGTATCTTCTTCAGAACTAGCTTTCCTGAGGCACCTGGCCTGGGTTTCCCCGTGCTTGCTTCATGAAGTGGTTTCCAGAGAGTGCTCTGTGGACCACTGTTGAACATAAACCTAGAAGGAGCCAGGCCTCCAATGTACACATTGGCACCAGAGGGTACCACTTCATGCCAGGCTCCCTGCTGGACCTGAGCTCACTGTCCAGCTTTGTCCATGTGCCTCATTAAGAAGCCCTCTGTCAATGATGCTGCCCTCTCTCTGCACTGGCCCTCTCTTCCCTGTACTTCACTATACTGTCAGGGACGGGGGCCTGGTGTTAGCCCAGGATGAGCTGATGGAACGTTTGCCACCAGCTCTGGAGTCCTCTCCTGCAAGCCTTCACAGTTCATTGTTCTCAGGCCACAGAGCTGAACTGCCCCCTCTGCCTCTCTTGTCATGTCCCTTGGTCATCTAGTGAGCGACTCTTCCTTGTCCTGTGGGGCCTGGCTCCAAGTCACCCTCCCCCCCAACCTCACTGAGGAAGCACCACTGGCAAGGGCAAGTGCTTTCACTGGGATATTATATTTATTGTCAGTTGAGTCCCAGGATTGCAGTCAGTGCAGGACATGGCACAGAGGTGATGCCCGTCATGGATGGAAAAATATGCATGGGGGTGGGAAACCCTGAGGATAGATTGAGATATCCCTGTTTGGGTGTCCCTATAACTTTGAATCAAGAACCAAGGAACTCAGAGTATCTTGAGATACTCTGAATGGTCAGTTATATGTATACATGGGGGTGGGTAGTGTGGCAATGTATTAGAGTGTGTGTTAGAGGGAGAGGGAGAGGGAGAGATTCTGGGAATGTCAGACACATAATCCAATAATCCTTGGGACAGTACTCCTAGCCTCCTGGGATGCTCAGCTAAGAAACACCCCCTGTGTCCTGTCAGATGCTCTGCTCCCGAGTACAGGCCTTGTGAGTTGTATCAGGAATCAGGATACTTCCTATTCTCTCCACTGTGTGAGTCGCTTTTATCACTGTGACAAGATGTTCACTTATTTGGGCAATGGCTTTAGAGGTTTCAGCCCACAGTCACTCAGTGCTGTGGCACTTCAGTGAGGCAGAATGTCATGACAGGGGCCATGTGGAGGAATAAAGTTGCTTCCTTCACCATGACCAGGAAGCAGAGCAGGAAGAAGGGACCGAGAACTAAATATGCCCTTCATAGCACATTGATAGACAGTCTTCCTCCAACCACTGCCTTTCCATTAGGGCATTAAGCTATGAATTCACTGATGGGTTAGATCCCCCATGAGCCAATAACTTCCTAAACGCAGACACTGTTGCTTTGGAGACCAGCCTTCAATGCACCAGCCTTCAAACCGTGACAGTCATGCTCACACATGCCAGAGGCTGTCCAAACACTTCTATATGTGACAGAAATTACCCATGTGTACATTGATATAGACTACTCATCTGTCCTCACATAAGCCTGAGAGCTACTGATCAGAGCCCCCCAATTCACAGACATCCCTCACCCCCCCCACAATATCCAGGAAGCTCTGAAAAAAAAATCTCACTGTTGCTAAGCCTGGTGCAGACTCTGTTTATTACTAAGCCCACCTAACATGACTCAAGGCCATTTACCATAGTTAGCCTCTTGGCGAGATTAGTCATTTAATGATGGCAATTCTGAGAATTGTCCTGTGGTTTTGTCATTGTGTGGAGGACATAGTGTGCTTACACAAACTAAAATCACCATGATGTCCCTAGGCAGTATACTCTTATGGGGCTACCTAATACATACTGTTCTTTGAAATATTGTTCTATAGTGTCTGACAGTAGCTGTGTTTTCCTGTAGAGGTGCCAATGGCTCTGATAGTAGATGTGCATACTGAAGAGATGGTATCCAAATGGACCATGTGCCCTATTTATTACCTTTGGGGTTTTGTTTGAGTGGATGTTTGGGGCTTGGGTTGAGGAGGTCAACTCTGATCATTGTCTCCCCCAGATGGTGTGGTCCTGGTGGATCCTGAATATCTCAAAGAAAGGCGAGGTAAGCTGTATTCCCTCTTAGCCACTGCATGCCAGTAGGCTCCTTATCCTCTGCTCTCCGGTGACCTCCCATAGTCCTCCCTGTCCACCCTACTGGTTATGTGCTTGGATGCTCCAGTGCATGCTGTAGTGAGAACTCTGGTCTCTGGCACAGAGCAGCCCTGCCTCATGCCCACATAGGAGAACTTATGCCCCAAGCTTGCCTTGTCCCCTCAATAAGACAGCAAGGCTTGGCACAGAGGAGATGACAATACAGCAGGAAAGAGGGCCTCATTTTATGGAAGACAAAGGTAGAAAGGTCTGTGTATATGATCCCATGTCTTTTAGACACAGCCTTCTATATGCTTCTCTTCTAGGCTGTCTCCCTTACCCTTTCCTAAGTCTGCCAGCCTAATCCAACCACCAGGCTGCCTGACTGTCCTTCTGCCCCTACATACACCTGGACTGGAGTGGGCTGGCGAGGGCAGAACTTCCCAGAAGGAGGCCTCTTCCTAAGAGTCACATCAAGGCTGCCCTTACAGGCACCTTGTGTGAGAGAGCCAGAGTAGCTGCCCCACTTGAACCTGGGACAGCCATGTAACTTCCAGTAGGGCATACCCCAAGGCTGCGGCTGGAGCTCTGGGGAGGGGGTTGTGTGCTGCCCTCCCAGGCCCTTTCTCAGTGCCCTTGCTCCTCACAGTCTACGTGACACTGACTTGCGCCTTCCGGTATGGCCGGGAAGACCTGGATGTCTTGGGTCTGACTTTTCGAAAAGACTTGTTTGTGGCTAACGTGCAGTCCTTCCCACCGGCCCCGGAGGACAAGAAGCCACTGACTCGGCTACAGGAGCGGCTCATCAAGAAGCTGGGCGAGCACGCCTACCCCTTCACCTTTGAGGTCAGCTCTTCTTCTCCACCTGCATTCCAGAAGCATCACTTCTGGGATGTGCTCAGGGTGGGCACATGGGGAAGCCAGGAGGGCAGTTGCTTTGTCTCACCTGATTGTGAACCTGAGTTCTGTCGCTTATATTACCTGTTACGTGTCTTATCTCTGGACACTGTGGACATGCCACCTTAACCTCTAGGCTGCTCTTCTGGCCCTCCTGGATTTAACTTACTAGAGAAAGGATGGCCCAGGGGTGGTCGCAGTAAAGGAATGGATTCTGTCTGTCCCTGGGCCACTATGTATCTCACCTCAGACAGGCTGCCCACATGCCCTGCTCATCCTCTGTCATGCCCCCTTACTATTCCAAGACTCCATGCTTCTGGAGTTTACACCTTCATGTCCCCAAGACCCCAGGGTTCTGGGGTGGGGCTGAGCTGAGATCTTGGGTGAAGAACACTCAAATTCTTATCTCCCCCAGTCTTCCACTGACCCCATGTGCAGCATGGTGTGATATGGCGTGACCAGGAGAGAAACAGTCTATTTCAGGGGCCCCTTGATGGAAGAGATACAGTTTGCTTTCAGAAGATCTGGTCTGATGGAGGAGAGATTGTCTGCCCTCCTTGGTCTGATGGGTGTTTAGGAGTGAGGTGTGCATGGAAAGACACAGCGGAGGTGAAAGGTCAACTCATTTTCTTTGTCTCCTGAACAGATCCCTCCAAACCTTCCGTGCTCAGTGACATTGCAGCCAGGGCCTGAGGACACAGGGAAGGTAGGCCATTCCAAGAAGACCATCTCTCTGGTCCCAGGCTCTCATGTCCCCAGGATCCTGGTTTCCTCCCCATGGAGTAGTAGACATCTGGGACCTTCCTTCCTGTTGAAACTGCCTGGGCCTAGACCCGGCTGATTTTCCTTGGACAATCAGTCCCTTGAGATAAGGCTGCAGATGCAGGCTGGCTTTGTCTCACATTCTGTGATGTGTCATAGACTTCCTTGAGTCACGCTTGCTGGCTCTGGTATTGATTGCACAGAGCCAACAGGTTCTGAAGACCTCCATATGGCTTCACATAGTCCCTAGCTGCCTTGTTTGGAGATGGGATGGCTGCTGTATACAGCTGGGGTAGCTAAAGTTTGGGGAGGAGTGACACCAGCAGCATCCCAGGACCCAGACTTTAGAGCTCACACTCATCTTCAGAGCAAAGACAGTGACCATGCTCCCCCGTATTGTTAGAGTGGGGGAGACGCCCAGCACCAAAGGAGACACCTGGCACAGGGTCTTCACGTTGCTGGTGGCTGTCTTAAGGAGGACAGCCACCTAGACTGAAGCTGGGGTCCCAAAGGTGGCTGGGCGTGGCTGGTGGGCTGGCAGGAGCAGCTCCAGTCCTGGCTCAGGGGCAGCATCGGGACAAGGTCAACATTGGTGCCAGGGTTTCAGAACCTATCAAGGAGCCCTCATGCGGCAGAAGTTGATATTCTCACCCAGCATTCTGGCTTGTAAGATGGGAGGGTGGATAGGGACCTTGCTTCCCCAATGCCTTGGGGTCAGCATGGCCTCCTCCACAGGCCTGTGGTGTGGACTACGAAGTCAAAGCCTTCTGTGCGGAGAACCTGGAGGAGAAGATCCACAAAAGGTGCGCAGGATGCCCATGGGAGAAGGGAGGAAAGACAGGAGGGGGATGTCCAAAGCGGAGCAATGAGCTGCACTGTGGGAAGGGTCTGGAAGGCTGTCAGGTCATGTGAGCTTCCTGGAGGAGGTGGCTTGAGGGGCCTGAGCCAGTCCTCTCTCGAATCTTACTCCTCCAGACTGCAGTTTTTGATGTTAGAAAGACTAACTTCCAACAGTGCATAGAATGTTTCCACGCTATTCATTCTCCAATGTTTGCCCACTGAGAGGCCATCAGCAGTAGTGGAGCCTGTGTGTTGTGGAGGGATCTGAATAAGGAGAAAGTGATCTTAGAGCAAACTCAGTATGGCTCAGAGAAGGGGGATTCAGTGTTTGGCCCTGACATCTCATGGCTGCCTTCCCTGGAGTTCAGAACCTCCTATCTCTGACACCCCTGAATCCTAAGTCCTACTCCTGGACCAGCAGGCCAGCTGAGGGATGCCCACCAGCCCCTTTAGGGATGTTTGCCACCTGGTGGCGACTAGGTGTATCACAAGCATTTCAAGTTGCTGCTTGGCGGCTCCTGTATTGCCCAGTGGAGTGGAGGGGTGGATTAGACTCCTCTCTCTTGCTTCTCTGTCCCTTAAGATCTGAGACGAAGGGGACCTAACAGCATTGTGGAATATGAGAGGGGTCTTGAGCAGAACAATGAACAGCAGGCAACATTGAGTGTCACCACCCTCACCCTCTCCCAATGGGACATCTTAAGTCTACTCCCAAGACTCACTAGTAATAATGATACAGTAGATGTCAGTTCGAAAGTGCTTAGTTGATTCTGGCCATGTTCAGTATTGGTCAGATGTGAACTGCTTTAACCCTGCCAATGCCCTGAGGGGTAAGTGCGGTTGTCACTGTTTTACAGATGAAGAAGTGGAGACACAGGGAGGTAATTTCCTCAGGCCATGTGGTTAATAAGGAGAGTTAGGTTTATCACCAAGATTCTCAGGTTCCAGGGAATGGAGGTGGCTTTTGGAGAAATAGGGGTGCTGGCATTCCCCATGTGCCACTGAAATAGTATGCATCTGAGTCCCTGTCCCCCGGACCTCTGCTGGATCTTTCTTATCCGTGGGCCTCACTGAGTTACTTCATCACTGTCCTGCACCTCTGTGGTTGAATCCACACCCTGTAATGAAATCCCCCACCTCCTAGGGGGCCTGTCCATTCTGCATATGTGCACTTAGCGGGTCTTAACAGATAAGGCCGCCATGTGCCAGTACAGTCACATGTGCCGAGACTGTGGTCATGAACAAGCTAGACAAGAAGTTTCCACCATCAAGCGGCTTACATTATCAGGATACATAGGGGATGAGAAGCAAAACAATTGTCCCTTTCTTACCATTGTGCTGGGTCCTGGGCCATGGACCCAAATGAACCGATGCTGTGGGGTGGCCCTGGGAGAGAATGGAGGAGGCTGGGGCAGAGTCACATGGTGACAAGCCCTCCAGGCTAACCTCTGTAGTTGGCAGGCAATGGGGAGCTACAGTGGCCCGTTGAGGAGGAGAGAAAGAGATGTAGGAGAGGGTGTGGAGGCCGGTGACCGTCTGTCTTTCTCCCCACACATTTCCCTTAGGAATTCTGTGCGGCTAGTCATCCGGAAGGTTCAGTATGCCCCAGAGAGGCCTGGCCCTCAGCCCACGGCTGAGACCACCAGACAGTTCCTTATGTCGGACAAGCCCCTGCACCTTGAGGCATCTCTGGATAAGGAGGTAAGAGGCTCAAACCCATTGTCCCAACTGTGATACCTCTCAGACTCCCTGTCCCCTGACTTTGCTTGAGGGTTTTGAAATCCTGTTGGGGTCTAAACAACTGACAGAGATAGGTATGTGCACCTACCAGGCAGGAGCAATGTACCTTCTGGAAGGGTCATGGCCATTCCTCCTCATACCCTAATAATTGCCTGCTTCAGGCTCTTTGGAGAAGCACAGCCATATCAATAGAGACCATGATGGAGAGCAGGGTCCAGGGACTCCTTGCCTTTACCCTCTCATCTATGAGATAGAAGGCAGCAAACTCTTAAGAAGGGGACTCTAAGCCAGCTGACTGTGGTGTGAGTGTGAGGATCCTTCTTGGGAGAGCTAAAGGCAAGGACCTGGATAAGATATGGTGGAAGCCCTTCTCTGAGAATTTGGAGCAGATCCTTTAGTGAGTTGGTTAGCTCTTCTTCCCTACCTCTGAATCTTCCAGAGTTTTCTGTGTCTGCAAACCCAAACCACCAGAGCCCACAGGGACTTGAGACATTGCTCTGTCCAACCCCTCACATTGAATAATGGAGAAACTGAGACTTAGATAGCATGTCCATGGTCATGCAACCATCATCACCATCGATACTGTTATTGTTGTCTTAGCTAGAGGTGAGAACAGGACTGGAGCTGGAGACGCCAGCTTCCATTTCTTTTTGGCCTCTCTCTCTCTCTCTCTCTCTCTCTCTCTCTCTCTGTGTGTGTGTATGTGTGTGTGTGTGTGTATGCACATGTGTGGAGCTGGCTGACAACTTTGGGGTGTCATTCTTGCGGACACAATCTACTTCCTTTTGGGGCAGAGTCTGTCTTGGCCTGGAGCTCACCAGCTAGGCTAGACTGGTTGGCCATTGGGCTCAGGGATCATCTTGTCTCTGCCTCCCTAGTGCTTACAAGCACCTACAAGCAAGGGCCACTGCACCCATTGTTTTAATTTATTCTTTATGTCTTTCACATCATGTATCTCCATCCCATTCATTTCCCTGTCTCTTTGTATCCACCCTCTGCCCTTACGACACCCCCAATAAAATAAAATTTAAGAGAAAAAAAGGAAAAGGAAAAATCAATTTCATCATGGAAGCTGTAGTGTGACACAGTGAGTCACGCAGTAAACCCCTTTGTCCATATATCTACACTTGCAAGTGTTCATTGCAGAAAATCATTGGTCTGGTTTGAGGCCTCTGGTTTCTGCTACACTATCAATGCTGGGCCCTCACTGGGACTCTTCTTGGACAACCTGTTGTTTCCCTGTGTTGTGGAGGTCCTGCAGATTTGGGCCTGCAGGGTCCCCACCTAGCATTTTTACATGGGTATGGAGATTGAACTCAGGTCCTTGTGTTTGCAATACAAGTACTTTTCAGACAAAGCCGTCCCCCAGTCCTGGAATGTCATCTTTTAATACAGACGTCTTTGAAAGGTCCCACAATGGTACCGAAGGTCCATATGCTTGGTAGTTCGTGTGATGCTTTTATTCCAGTGGGAAATGGCTGATGAACTTGGGGGCAGAGGTTAGAATAGCCAGGTATTGTCCCTGCCAACACTTGCCTGTGTTTTGCCTCACAGATCTATTATCATGGAGAACCCATCAGTGTCAATGTCCATGTCACCAACAACACCAACAAGACTGTGAAGAAGATCAAAATCTCGGGTAGCTGGGGAATTCTCCCAAGGGTTGGGATGGCTGCGGGCATGCACTTTGTTAAAAGCCTGTGAAGCTCCATTAGTAGCTTTGGAAATGGGTCTGCTCTCAGCTAACAGTGGCTTTGAAGCTGGTATGACAGGCAATGGGGCTACTGCTTTAGCTACTTATTTTCATAGGCTTTCTGGGCCCTGGCCAAGCTGTCCTGGGAGGAAAGACTTGGTCATGGAAGGAACTGGGCTTTGGTGGGGACTTCTCTTTGGGTGGGGGCTGGGGTGGTGGCCTCTGGTAAACCCTGGCCATTGTCTCAATCCAAGCAGTCCTACCCTAGGAGGCTTAAGGTGCATTCTGGGAGCTGCCCCCAGCTCATGTGCCTGTGTCTCCACCTCTCTCTCTCCAGTACGCCAGTATGCAGACATCTGTCTCTTCAATACAGCTCAGTACAAGTGCCCAGTGGCCATGGAGGAGGCTGAGTAAGTGTTTTTGAGGCCAACTTTGGATGAGTGGGGCTAGATGGGAGAATGGGAAGCCTAGGTTCAGGCATCTGTCCCCATCCTGCAGAGGGCTGGTCTCCACCTTCTTTGATATTCACAGTAGACGGTGTGGAAGAGTCTTCTTTAAGAATTTTTTTTTTTTTTTTTTTTTTACCACATCTATTTTTTTTTTTGTTGTGGGTTTTGACACACATGTGGAAGTCATAGGACAACTTGTGAGAGTCAGTTCTGTCCTGTAATGTATGTCCTAGTTAGAATTCAGGTGATCTGTGCCTTTACACACTGAGTGACCTCACTGGCCCCCATTTTGGTTTTGAGTCCAGGACTCACTCTGAGATCAGGCTAGCCTGAAAACTCACTTTGTAGCCCAGGCTTGCCTGGAATTCATGGCAATCCTTCTACTTCAGCTCTTCAAGTGTTGATATGATGGGTGTGAGCAACTATACCTGTCCCTTTGACAAGTTATGATATCCTATAGATGGATATGTTATTATTAATCCAAATGTTCCTGCATTATTGGATATTCTTATATCCATTATTGATTAAAAAAAACAAAAGCCAAAGCCATAGGCATAGATTTCTGATGAGTATTTGGGGCACAGTGAAATGACCCAGAGCCAGAATGGCATGCAGTCCCAAGTGGAATGTCACATTCTGTGACACACTTGCATGTGCAACCTGGAGAAAAGTTGCATATGCCTGGCCTTCCAGTGAGCCTGGCTTCTAGTGCGGTTGGGGTTGAGATGTGGCTGTCTCCCCTCAAAGAGGCAAATCTGGGGCTGCCCCAGTGTGAGTTTCATGCACCTATTACTGAAGTACCTGCACATTGATAGATATGCATTACAGCAAGTGAAATTTCAGTGGTAGAACCTAGGTTGGGACTTCCAGACACTCAATAGCTTTACTCATGGTTTGTATGCACTTATACTTTTAAAAGTAAATGAGATGGCTTAGCAGCTAAGAGCACTTGCTGTTCTTCCAGAGGTCTGGGGCTCATTTTCCAGCATCCACAGCAGGTAGTTCACAATTGCTTGTAACTCCAGGTCCAGGAGATATGGCACCCTCTTCTGGCCTCTGAGGGTAATTGCAAGAGTGTTGATGGAGGCAGGCACACACACACACACACACACACACACACACACAGAAATAAAAACTTAATCATTAAGTAAATAATAAAAATAGATGTACATCCTGGCTATTCCTAGCCTAGGGGCATCCTGCCTGTGTGTGGTGTGTCTGTGCCTTTTGGGTGGCAGTAGCCTTCCTGCCAGAGCTGGGCCTGGCCCAAGTGGTTCCCTACATCTGGCATTCGGAGGCTTGCTGGCAGAAGGCATTTTGGAATAAGGCCAGGCCAGGCATCTTGACTGGGTTAGGGCTGATTGTGATAAGGCCATCTTTATGACACCTCTGTATTTCCAGTGACACTGTGGCACCCAGCTCAACGTTCTGCAAGGTCTACACACTGACTCCTTTTCTGGCCAACAACAGAGAAAAGCGGGGCCTTGCCCTGGATGGGAAACTCAAGCATGAAGACACAAATCTGGCTTCCAGTACTCTGTGAGAACTGCCCCCTCCACATCCCCAGCTCTTAGCGCTCATTCTGCAATGGGGCCCCACCCTCTTGGCCCACCAGTATGAGGATGGGGTTCCTGGAGTGTGACTAGCCAGGGAGGCTGTCTCCCTATTCCACCTGCCCACTCAAAGACTACTTGGCCCCATCATTTGGCTCTGGGGGTGGGGCACCACTGGAAAAGCTTCCAGTAAGAATTGGTAGCTCTTAGCCTAGAGTCTTGAACACACATTGGGAGTGTCCTTGATGTTGTCGAGGTTGGAAGGGAGACAGTGGCTTCTAGAAGGGTCTTGGAAGGAGAGAAATGGGGGCTTGGAGAGCCTGGGGAAGCGGTGGTGAGCTGGGGAGATAGATTTGGGGACCCTTTCACATGAGATACTGTAAGGCCATCTGGGTCACTCTTGTTCCATGGGCATCACTGAAGCTTCAGGGTTGCTCCACTCTAGAAGAGTCCAAACAGTAGGGGGCTCATCTCCTTTGTTGATATCTAGCTCTCTTCAAGGGGTTTAGTCTCTGTCTGTTGCATCTGAGACCATCATTCCCAGCTCAAGACTTTTGGCTCAGGCTAGACCAGCACACATTGTAATCACTCCTCACAGGCTCCTCATTTATCAACAAGCTCTTTGTTCCTCTTCTACCCAGGCTCATATTCAATCTGCTCTCTTCTTGCCCTATGAGGCATCACCCCTTGAAGACAAGCCATACTTCCGGTGCTACCATGACTCCCAGCTTCAGAAGCTACCATGGCTTCTCAGCTCTCAATGTGGCCCTTTCTGCTTATGAGTTACTGAGCAGAAAACCGTGTGAGAGAAGTAAATGGTAGGAGAGCAGTTAGAGCCTGCTCTCACTGCACTGTGCGGCAGGAGCAAGGCAGGGAGGAGGGCCTACTTGGTCCACAGCGTAAGGACATCTCATAGCCAAGGGAACTGAAGGCACTAGGGCCATGGCTCAGTGGTAGAGTACTTGCCCATCACACATGAGGCTCTGAATTTAATCTGTAATACCACAAGGAGTGATGTATACAGAACCAAGGCTACAAGTTCCAGTCCACCGGGCACAGCTCACTTTCCCAGCTCTGTTAGACCTGGTAGCTCAGGAGAGGGAAGGGCAGTGGTGCCTCCCATCGCACTCCATGGCTACCACATCCCGCCCACCAAGGATGCACACAGACCAGCTTCCCTGTTTCCCTGCAGGCTGAGGGAAGGTGCCAACCGTGAGATCCTGGGGATCATCGTGTCCTACAAAGTAAAAGTGAAGCTGGTGGTGTCTCGGGGCGGGTGAGTCCAGATGCCCCAGTGCCCCTTACCCCTGTCCTGCCTGTTTGCCTGGCCTTTCAGTTGCATCTTCCTGTGGAGGAGCCGAGACTTGAGGACTTCCTCTTCTCTTCCTTCCCATGGTTCCTCTTCCTTCTCCACTGGCTGAGGCTCCTCCCCACCTCTTTCTCTCCCGTTCTCCTCTTTAACCAAGGCCTGGGTCTGGCTCTGAGGATTGGGCACAGCCTATGTGAGTCTGGGTGTCCTCAGACTGTGTACTGTGACTCTCGGGCTACCATGCTCTCTCTCACCTCTCAGGGCACAGTGCCCACACACCACTGTCGGAGACTGAGAAACCCAGAGCTCAATAGGGAAGTTGCTAACTTGGCTGACTTTCCTATTTTGTAGATGGGGAAAATGAGGCCTAAATAGTTCTCCCAAAAAACTAAGTAGCATTTATTACAGTATTGCCTCTGACCCAAGAATGATGCATACCCTTGTAGTTGTAACATTTGGGAGGCAGAAGCAAGAGATCAGAACTTCGAGGCCATTCTTGGTGGCATAATGAGTTTGAGGTCAGTCTGGACTATATCACACCCTGTCTCAAAAGAACAAAGAATATTGTTTTTGGCTGTCAGTATTAATACTGACTAAATATTACAGAACTTTTCCAAACCCAGTGGCCAGTCCTGTGTTCTGTGACCTTGCAGGACCCACGGTCTTTCCACATCTTAGTGACCCCACAGTCTTCCTTCTGCCAATTGTTAGCCTGCAAGTGGGATATTAGTTCTTACAGATGTTCTGGGGGTCCAGGGGCTCTGCAAGCCAGCCCCCCTCTCAGTGTCCTGGATGAACTGTCAGCTGCACCAGGGTGGGGAGTGTGTCCTTTGGGTCTTCTGTGGCAGGGTGGCAGAGGAGTGAATGAATGTCGTTTTTCTTTTCTCCCCCTCTGCACTCTGTCCCGACCGCTTCTGCCTCCTCTGGCCCACTCAGCCTGTTGGGAGATCTTGCATCCAGGTAAAGTCCCTCCTATGTCCTGCTTTGTTCATCTTCCTGCACGTCCTAGGGTCACAGACCCAGCTGATCAGAACCATAGGGTGCTTGGGAGGGAAGAATCTAGGGTTTATCTCAGATTACAGGCTGGGGAGGTGCTGCAGCTGGAATTGTACCGGGACAGTGGGGAGACGTGGCCATCTTCTCTTCCCACTCAAGTGACAGGACCTTTGTAGACAACAGCGATCCCCGTAGACAGCAGTGGTCCCTAGGAGGGTCAACTGAATTATTGACCTGAATTCTGGGATGCTTCAAAGATATTCAGCTTTAGTGGCTTTCAAACCTCTACTCTACTGAGAATTTATGGCTAACTGTAGTCGGTTGTACTTGTAGCAGCCAGACAATAACTTAGGCGCACGCGTGCGTGCTTGTGTGTGTGTGTGTGCATGCGCCCCAGACACACAGAGATAGTGTGACCTCCTGTTGTCACTAGATGATGGTGTCACTCATCCTATGAAATCTGAGTGACTCGAGATAATTCTATCTTGTTCTTTTCATCCACCAAAGAGCTTCTGAGTTCATTCAGGCTTGTGGCCAGACCTGTGCAGGGTACCAGGATCTCGGAAGGGAACCAGCAGTGCCCTTACTACTCACAGCCTGGCAAAGCCCATGCCCAGGTCCTTCCAGCCACATCCTGTGTGGCTTCACTGAGGGCTGATTGACTCTGGCTTCTACAAGCTTCCATCACCACCCCTAGCCTCTACCCTCCACTCCCCCCAGCTAGCTGGCCCCGAGCAACAGGATCAGTAAGGCATGGTTGTGTCTTCTGGAGGCATTCATAATTTAAAGGGGGCTCTCCTAAGAGATGCCACCCCTAGCAGAGAGGAACCTCTGGGCTACTTTTTATCTCCCAATTCTGTTTATCATCCAGTGGTTAAGGGGGTGAATGTTGGAGCCAGACTCTTTCTTCACTTACCAGTTAGTAACTGTGCAGCCTGAGGCAAGGCTTAATTTACACACACCTTAACTTCTTGGTCCTTGCCTAGGCCATTGTAATAATAGGGCTGCTGTGAGGAGTACAGGAATTAGACTGTAAGGATGGGCTTGAAACAAGTCCTGAGTACAGTTTGTACCATGCAAGTACCTGCTCTTGTCCTCAACCTGTCTGTCAGGGACAAGGTCAGAGAAGGCATGGTCATCAACAATGAGTGGTGGCCCCTCTCCCTGTCCCATCACATGCACACATATGAGGGACAGAATCTGCACACAGTGCAGCTTGTAGGTGGCAGGGTCCTGGGGTCCCTGGAACACCTTTATGGGAGGGTTGGGAAATGAGGTGGGTAGGATTGGGAAGGATAATATCAGAAAGCCATGGTGATTTGAGGTGGGCAGGACCCCAGGCTACCATGGTATGAGTCCCTAGAGGGCATGGTTTCCAGCCATGGTAATCAAACCATTCTTTGGAACAAGGGAGGTTTCTGTTATTTATTTATTGGTGGTGGGCCGTCTATCTCTTTGTGAAGATGGGATAAAAGGTGGTGGTCAGGGTAGCAAGACTGGAGTGTAGTTGCTTTCCTGCTAATTCCCCAGACCTCAAACTGAAGGAGCAGCAGGTCTCAAAGCCTGAGGCTCCCTCCGGGCTCACTGAGTCGGGTATGTGTTTCAGCGATGTCGCTGTGGAGCTGCCTTTTACCTTAATGCACCCTAAGCCGAAAGAGGAGCCCCCACATCGGGAAGGTGAGTGGGGCCTACGGGTCACTGGGGTGGGGCTTACCAGCTTCCCTGTTATCCTACCACCCCACTTCTTTCTGGGTTGGTCCCCAGCTTCTAGGCTTTACAGGGCCCTCGTCAGTACATTTGCTTTTGACCCAGCTAGGAGACCGAGGGTCCTGACTCCTGTTCCCCAGGGGAGAGGAAGGCTAGGGGTGGAGGACAGGCCATATTGGTAGATTTTAATCTTTATTTTTTCATTTAAAATATTTGTATTTTATGGGTATGGGTGTTTTGCCTGCATGTGTGCCTGGGTGCTATGTGCATACAGTGCTCTCAGAGGCCAGAAGAGGGTGTCAGATCCCCTGGGATTGGAGTTGTAGGTAGTTGTTAGACATGCTGTGGGTGCTGGGAATTGAACCCACAACTAGAAGACCCAGTGCTCTTAACTGCTGAGCCATTTCTCAGTCCCTATATTGGTTGAATTTTTAAACTGGCAGCAGAGTGGCCACATTACACTGAAAGGGATGTTAAAGTTCATAATGCAGATGAAGCCTGTGCCTACAAATAGACGTTGAAATGTCACAGATGGCATTCTGCATGCAGAGAGGTTACAATGTGAAAAAATAGCTAGGCATGACAGCACTTACCCACAATCCTAGCAGAGGGAGGTGTGTGAGGCAGGAGGGTCACAAGTTTGAGGTCAGCCAGGCCTGCAAAAAATGATCTCCTTAGAGTAAATGGAACTTAGCAAGCAAGAAATTGATGTATCTCACCATGGAGACGGTATCCTGCAGGGTCTTCAGTGGGTATGGATGCCTCCCTCCCTGCATCTGCTGCTTTTGGGGTGTTCTAAGACCTGGGATGCTTCCTACTCCCCTTCCTTCTTTGCCTTGACCATCTTAGCTGGAGAATCCCAGGCTGGGGGAGGGACAGGGCCTTTGTCCCATTCCTCATCCCCCACTAACCGCTGGGTGTCTCACATGTCTTGTGTCTGTTCAGTTCCAGAGAGCGAGACTCCAGTAGACACCAATCTCATAGAGCTTGACACCAAGTAAGCTGAACCTCCCTGCCTGTGGTGTCTGTGGGTGGGGCTGGAGGGTGGCTGGGAGAGGTGGAGGGGTCATTTGCATAAATGCTTATTAACCTCTGAGGAGCAGCTGGTCTAACCTGTCTGCTGAGAGCCACCTCTGATCACCTCTTCAGCAACCTGCTTGTCTGCATGTGACTTGAAGGACCCTCCGTGCCTGTTCCTCTTCCTCCCGCATTGGTGGGGTCTGTCTTCCTCTCTCGTCTTTGCACGTTCGTCAGTCAGTCCGTCCATCGGCAGCGCCCACTCAGCTGTCTGGCAAGGGGCTGGTTCAGACCCCGGGCTCCCCTCTTTCACCTGACCCATGCCAGTTGGAGGCTGCCTGTAGGGTGGAGAAGGTGTCTGGGTGCTGTCACTTCTGCTACCTGCGAACCAAGTGATTCGGATTCCCCTGCGGTGGAAGGCCCTGGGGCACCAGACAATGGCCAGAGGAAGAGGACCTGGCTCAATGGCTTGAATCACCTCTGGGGCCAGGCTTGTTTTCTCCCTCCAGCTCCCTAAATCTCCTTTCCCTGACTCTTTGGAGAGATCTGGGAAATGGGGGTTTCAAGTTGCCCAATGAGGAAGCCCATTCAGCTGGCTGAACTGCATGGGCCAAGGGACTTCCTATGTCTCTGTCTGAGTCTAAGTGACATGATGGAAAGAAACAGTCCTGAAACTCTAACTAGGCATCTTTCCCCCTTCCTCTGTCCTCTGCTCAAAAGTTTCTCCCCTACTTAGGTTTTTAAAGAATAGCATGTGAGCTAGTACTTCTAGGAGGAAGGGCCTGTATAGGTTTTCTCTTCCTTAGAGCCCAGAACCAACTTTCTGGTTGAAACAGCAATTGTCCCTAAAGCAGTCTTCTTGGTTTGATTTTGAGGGGTGAATGGGGTTTCTTGGGCCTGTTCTTTGGGGAGTCCAATGCTACCCCTACTTACCTTCTCCATCCCCTCAGGAAGCAGGTTACTTTTCTAGGCCTTATATGTTGAGAGGCAAGGTTCTTGGAGTTTGTGTGTGACAATTCCCACAGCCAGCAGCGGGTGGGTAAATGGGCCAGCCTGGCATGCCTTTCCACCTGAGGTCATCCCAGAGACCTCGAAGAGTGTGTGTGGTTTTCTCTCAAGCCCCTCTACTCACATCTGACCAGGCCTCTGGATCTGCCTGTTATCTGCCCCTGCAAACACACGGCATTTTCCTTGTCTCTTCCACTAGTGATGACGACATTGTATTTGAGGACTTTGCCCGCCAGAGACTGAAAGGCATGAAGGATGACAAAGATGAAGAGGATGATGGCACCGGCTCTCCACACCTCAACAACAGATAGGCTGGGGCCAGCCCTCGCCCTGGCAGCTCCAGGTTCACTTTTGCACTCGGATGCTTTCTCGTCTCCTTCCGTTCTGGTTCCCCCTTCCCTTTTGTTCTTCCAGTTTCTACCAAGGGGCCCCAGTGGTCTTCCAAGTCTCGGTGATGAGCCTCTGGCCTCAGAACTGGCCTCACATCACCATGCCAGCAGGACCACAGCACACATCCTCCTCAGCCATCTCTCTGCGATCACTTATCCACCCCCTTTTCATGCTCGTTCCCACAAAGGCCACACACACTACCTGGCCTTGGGATTTGACTTGAGTTGGAGAGCAGAAAGGGAAGGGTGGGGCCAGAGTGCCAAAGTGATGGTGGGTATGAAGATGTGGAGAGGTTGGGCAAGATGGCTCAAGGCACAAGACACAAGAAGATGTCTGCAGTCCCAGGAGGTGACACAGTTTTGGCAGCTAAAAGATGACTGTATTGAAGGCTGGAGAGGGCAGGACTGTGAATAGATTCTCTTTCTCTCTCTCTCTCTCTCTCTCTCTCTCTCTCTCTCTCTCTCTCTCTCTCTCTCTCTCTCTAGGCCCACTAGAGACTCCTTCCCCTCTGCCCTCATCCTTGGTCCATGTCCTTGTATTTCATGGGGGGGGGGCAAATAGACTGCAGGAGAGAAGAGCCGACTTTCTAACCAGCAGACACCTAGATTGGTGCAGGCTACAGATTCATCCATACACTTGTTAGTACAGATAGGATGAGTCGCCTTAGCTTTGTTGCATTTTGTGTGGGGGCACAAAGAGGGAAAGCAAGTCTTTGAAAAATACCAGCCCCTAGCAGTGAGCAAGAGCTACTGGGAAGGTTTTCTGAGAGGGTGTAAGAGATGGGGCAGGCCAGGGGATGAACATTCATCCTCCTTCTTTCCCTTAGTGGATAGTCCTGTAGGAAGCAAGGATAGAGGACCACAGGCAGCTGAAGCCATCAGTATCTTCCAGCTTCCTCTAGTAGTTTTCCAGTTACTTGTCCCTGTAAGCTAGAAGAGAGAGAGAGGTGCCTGAGGCCACCATTCCTACTGTTAAGGGAGTTCCCATAAAGACATACTCTCCAATAGGAAAGCACCTCCTTTCCTGGAGGAATTGATCCCATTAGTATCCAGGGTCATGGGCACTCAGTATCCATTAGCTGGTGTTAGTGTGACTTGAATGGAGTGTTTCCTAGGGTATCAGGGCAGACAGGTGGTAAAGATATCCTTGTTTGGGCTTTGTTGCAAACTTGTGTGACCTTGGGTAAGTTCCCTCCCTGTCTTCAGACCTCAGTTTCTTGTTGGAAAGCCAGAAGGTAGACCAGATGACCCCAGAGTTTCCAGTTCTAGTTTCTGTATATTGGTGGTTCTCTGAGCTTCTAGTCTACCAGGTGGAGCTGAGGCTGCCAACTGCCCCATCTGCCTTCAGAGGAGATTCATGGGACCTCAGAGGACTCAGGGCAGAACACTGAGGGCACCTTCTTGCCTAGGAAGGGTCACCCTTGGGCCCTTGTTGGCTTGTCTGATGTCAAGTTGTGGTCACAGCCTTTGTGAATTTCTCTGTCCCAGAGCTTATATTTGCTAAGGCTTGCATGAGAAGTGTGTGGACTTGGGTTTATCAAATATATTGATTAGCAGGGCAAGAGGATGATCTCATCTCGATTCATGTTCTCCTTTCCTCAGTTCCATACTTGCCTGAGAAGGGGGACCACAACTTTTGTTTGTTTTTGAAGTAGAGTATCATGTAGCCTATGCTAGCTAGCCATGAACCCACACTATGTAGCTGGGAATGATCTTGAATTCTTGATCCTCTTGTCTCAAGTGCTGGGATTGCAGGCATATCACACTACTACTGGCTTCACAGGTTGGAATTATACAGATTGGACCCAATTATACTGACCAGATCCCATTTTCAGTCCCTCCTGCCCCATGATTGCAATACTTTATCATGGTGAAATGATCCAGGCCCACTGGCCCTGTACCTTTAAATCTCATAAGCAGTCTACTCAAGGCACATCTTTGCAGATTAGAACAGTCAGTTTGGGGCAATAGTATTTCCTGACCTGCCCTGGGATCATAACTGCAGGCTCCCCTAGAATCCAGACCCTGCCAGAGCTAGCTGGGTACTTTTGCACCTACAGAACTGATAAAAATCTTGAATGGTATAAGGCAAGCACGTGCTCTTCACTGGCTTCCACTAAAATCTTTGGGGCTGATACAAGGCCTTTTAGCATTTGGGCTAACCTCTCCCTGGTTGCTTGAACTTCCTGTACCTCAGCCTCCCCACTCACCCTTTGGGTTTATCCCACAGATCTCCTGAACTTCCTCCAGCTGCAGGGTGGTACCAGAGCACCCTGTGCTTTGAGTTGGGCCACTCTAAGGGCAATGGTCAAGTTGGATTGCAGCCAAACCATCCTTGGCTGACAGCTTTGCTCCTTTATTCTGGGTACTGTAGACATTGAGGTGGATTTCTCCCTAGAATCCCTGTCTGTAGAAAACTCCTGGCAGGGGGAAAGTCAGAAGATAGTACTGACGGCTCTGGCTGCAGCCTGTCCATGCAGTGCCTTGATGTGAGTTTGGACAGTGTCCCTTCCAGGTGGATTCAAACCCACACTGGAAATTTCACTGTGTGAGGCTGGAATTTGGTGTCGCTTGCCTCTACTCCACAGTAGTGTGCTGCCTTACTGGGTGAGATACACAGGCTAATGTATTTCTTTGGCCTCTTCTTCAGTAGCTGGCTTATCTCTGGTCTGGGCCTCTGGTCTGCTCCAAACACCATGCCTGACTCCCATCTCATGACATGACCTAGTATTTCTCTGTGAGCCCTTCTCTGTCCTGGAGTGTTCCTGGCCAGGAAATGTTTTAAGAGTGAAGCAGGAGGCAGAGGAGCCTCCTGAGGTCCCAGGCACCATCTAGTGGTATTGGCTTTTCTTGTGCTTAGGTACTGGGACTTGTGCCACCAAACAGCCCACACTGGGACTTTCCAGTAAACCAAAGGGCACATGTTGATGCCAATCTGGGCAGGAAGAGTATGCTTTGGTAAAAGCTCATGAATAGAGGGTGATTGGACTTGCCCAGTGCCCCAGCCAAGAGAAAAATTTAGTTCCCAGAAAGATAAGGACTGAGTTGCTTGGCCGAATCCCCTGACTATTTCAGCGTTAGAGCCCAGATGGCTCCTGCTGGAGGGTGGATGACAATCTGATTCCCACCTTGTGCAGTGAAAGGGACCATGTCCTGAAAGTCCTCAAGACCACTTCTCAGTCCATACTAACTGGAACAATAGCCTTTGTCTGCTTTATTTGTGGGATTGCTATGGAGTTGAGAGGAGAGCCAAGAGCCAGTACTCTGTAGGCTGCAACCTACTGCCCAGGGGTGGCCCTGTCACTGAAGGGATGAGGCCCAAGGTCACACAGGAAGCTTGCTGTGGAGTGAGCCCTCTGTTTGCCAGTCTCTGTCTTCTGTCCTAATTTTTCCTGGTTAGATTATCAGCCACAATGACAATCAATCGTTGTGGCCTTGGTAACCACACTGGGGGAGAACTGTAGGTGCTATTGTCCAAGTATGGGTTCCAGCAACCAGGACACAGAAGATATGGATGTTGTCAGTGATTGGGGGACAGGAGGAGCATCTTGGACTCTCCTGGGACTGGAGTCACTCACCTCCTAGAGCCCACAAAAGTCAGGAGACCTAGACTCCTGCCACAGGTGAAGGAAATGAACCCACCATCATGCCACCCGAGAAATCCAAGGGTGAGAGGAAATAGATGTTGCCTCTTTTAAGTATAAGGTCCCTCTGGGATCAACAGAAACACCACAGCTCCATGGAAACCTTTGGGAAGGTCCAGTTCTCTTGCTCTGAGAGCTGAGCCCTGGCTGATCCACTCATAGTAGCTTCCATATCCCAGAGGCAGCTCTCTCTCCCACCAATGGCTAAAGACTCTGTGTGTGTGTGTGTGTGTGTGTGTGTGTGTGTGTGTGTTTGTGTGTGTGTCCATTCCACCAGAGAAGGGCAAGGCTCTAAGCTTAAGCTCCCATGACACAGGCAGGCACCTGTTCTGAGATTTGCTCTTTTTAAACTTAAGGACCAAACGAGACTCTTCTGGTTTTTACCCACAGAGCCTGTCTTGGGCCTGGTCCAGGCAGCTCTTAGCTTCTGCCTTCCTCCTGGCCTGAAGCAGCCTACTGGTGGGGTCAGATCCACGCCTCTGCCATCTCCATGCACACCAGTTTCACAGGGAGGCCTGTGGAAGGGAAAGCACCCCTCAACATTAGCAACTTGTCACCCCCAAAGGGGAAGTCACTGTCAAAGCACAGGTCCCTGGGACCCACTCTCTGCCCCAGGTACTGTGGACCTTGGTGTTCCACACAGCCTTGCCGGGGTTGCTGCCAGGGGAAGTTTGGGAAGAGGGAGAAAGGCCCAGTCTCTGGCCTTCTCCTCATTCCCACTTCCTCCACAATAACTGCTTTTAACTCTCTCATCTTTTGAGGTTTCACTTTTAAACTCTGCTTTGAAGAAAATCTTCAAACCACCATTTTGAGGTTTGATCTTAGACCAGCAACCCAGGCTCTCCTCTTGCTTTTGTGTGTTGGGGTGACTCCCGCATCCTGACACGAAGATACTGCGTGTCGGAACTCAGGTCACCAGGTCGAGCATTTGAACACACACGCTTGTTTTCTAGTTGGGAATGAGCTGGATGTGGGCTGGGCCTGAGGCTCAGTGAGGTAGGGCTTGGCCCTGATTTTGGCAGGTGCTTCATGAGGATTACAGAGCGAGGAGCCAGGTCCACCGTCCACTCAGGACTTGTTCTCAGGCATAGCCCATGTCTCTACAGGAAGAGCAGGGCAATGGGAGGAGGAGCTAGGGCTGGCTTCTTTATACAGCCAAGGGTGGTAATCCAGGTTCATGTAAGAGATACACCAGGGAGGCTGGAATCGCCAGACACATTTTACGCATGTCTTCCTTGAGCGAATCTCTTAGGATTTCACTTCCACACCTATGGATGTCCGTGTGCACAGTGCACAGCAGGAGGCTTTTGTGCCCAAAGAGGCTGGTTCCCCCTTCTGCAGTCCACAGTGTCCCCCCATGCTGGTCTGCACTCTCATGGAAATTCCCTTGCAGGACAGCTCATTGGGCTAGCCTTTGACACAGTCCTCCTGGGCCCACCTCCTGGCATTCGGTGAGGATTTGAAGCTCAGCACTGCTAATCACATGGCATGGGAGAGAGTGTGGCTTCTGAGACCCCACTGACCTCAGCTCCCCGTGTGTAAAGGGCTAGTGCCAGGCTCCTCCCACCTCACAGTGACTACTGGAAGGGACATAAGTGGGCAGGAAGAGAGGTCCTATGAGGTGGCAGCCTATGGGAGGGAATTGGGCCTTGCTTGGGTTACTGAACTACAGAGCCCACAACAGAATTACAATACAATATTTTGTCTTCCCGGGGCATTTCCACTCATTGTTAGGTCCAGTCGCAGCTGCTGTGGGCTGCCTCTTCTGAGGAGTGGGAGCTGATGTGTGTCCTGGGTGTGGTGGGAAGGGGTTGGTGGGGCAGCCTCAGGCCTGTGACCCTCTGTGAAGTGATGATTTGTGGCACATTCATTCCTGGACCACATCCAGGTCAACCTGTTGTACCTGTGGCTGCCTTTGTTCTGTGAAGTCATTATAGTTTTATTCAACTCCAACAGGACAGATGAGCAAAAGAACCTTGAACAAGAGGCCATTAAAGGCCTTTTGTGATAGAGAACATTGCCTGTGTTTTTATTTTATTTCTTGTTTCCTGAGTCCCGACAGGAAAGGCACCCAGCAATGTCCTCCTGCCCTGGACTGCTCTGGGTTTTGTGCCTCATCTGTGACCTCCTGAAGATCCCGGAGGGATTTCCCTGTTCCTGTATCCCTAGTGTCTAGCCTCATGGCCTTCGGTGGGGAAGCTGCCAAAGCTTGGTCTCTCGGAACTGGCTGGATTCCATGAGTCCTGGTTCACTGCTGAGTTGAAGCCCCTGTCACCCATCTGTTACTGTCCCCTCAGCTGGGGTCCTCAGCCCAGTCCCTGTCCTGGCTCTGCTCGCTCTCCACAGCCTGCTCTGCCAGGTCATTTTAGTCACTTCAGTTCCCCAAGCTTTACCTGCTCCTGGGCTAATGGGACACAGTGGGAAAGGAGGGACCTAGATGAAGAGGACCAGCCAACATTCTAATAGGCTGTGTCTACTTTCAGTTAAAGAGAAAGCATGCTGGACAAGGTAGTCCACACCCTTAATCCAAGCTCTTGGGAGACAGGCAGGCAGATCCCTGAATTTTAGGCCAACCTGGTCTACCTAGTGAGTTCTGGGTCTATATGCTACATAGTGAGACCCTGTCTCAAAAAAAAAAAAAAAAAAAAAAAAAAAAAAAAAAAGGAGAAATAAACCCATGAATATGATAATTTAAAAATTGATTATGTGATGAAAATTTATTTTCTATATTCTTGTAAACATTGTGTCAACTTAGGTCAAAGCCTTACCCTCCTGGGTGGCCACACATGGGTCATTCCTTCTCATGTTTTCTTACAGACGAAGCAGGACAGAAGCTTTGTGGCTCTTTAGATGTATTTACTTTATTTTGTGTGTAGGAGTGTTTCTCCTGCATGTGTGTATATACCATGTGCATACTTAGTGCTGAAGGAAGTCAGAAGAGGGTTACAGATGCCTTGGTACTGGAGTTAGGGATGGTTGTGAGCCACCATGTGGGTGCTGGGATCTGACCCTGGCTCCTCTGCAAGAGCAACGCATGCTTTTAACCTTGGAGTCACATCTCCAGCCCCAGGAAGTTTGATGTTAAAACACTGGAGAAGAAAAGGAAAACGGGGTGTGAGAATGACCCTGGGGTCAGGTATAAGAAGCCTTCATTTGTCCTAGGGTAGGGGGTGTGGGAGAGAAGGTGGCAATACTCCGCCAGCTGAGGAACTGGGGCAGCTGAGCAGGGACTTGGAGGGACAAGGGTCTCACGAAGGAAGAACAGAGGAGGCACAGGCTGTGATGGTCAGTGTTCTGAGTTGTATTTGTTTGTTTTGAGGAGGGACGTTTGTGTACACACATTTTCACGTGCACACTTGGAAGGCACGGGTAGAGATGTCTCATGTTTGTAAAACAGATCCTCAGACGAAGGAAGACCAAAAGAACATGTCATCACCACACTTTCCCAAAAAAAAAAAAAAAAAAAAATGCAAATAAGACATTCTTTAGGTTGAAGGAAAATTATGTCAAAGATGAACTCAGACTTTCAGGAATTAAAAGTGACAGACATGGTGATGATCCAGGTAAAAATATAAAGTTCTATTGATGATGACCAGTGAAAAAAATACTGTAATGCTGGTAGGGTTGCCAGTATGGACAAATAGTTAACTCCATAAGACACCTATAATGTGAGGTCAGTGAGGGAAAAAAACTTATTTGTTCACACATCTATATTATATTTGAGGGCTGTCAAGATGTCTCAGTAGGTAAAGGTGCCTATCACCAAGTCTGATGACCAGAGTCTGACCCCCAGAATCCACAGGGTGAAAGGAATGAGCCCACCCCTACATGCTGTCTTGTGACCTACAAAAGTATGTTGTGTATGCATACCCCCATATACATGTGCATGAAGACACACACAAGTACATGTAATAAGAAAAATGTAAATCTACATGTTATGCTTGAAATGATGAAATTATAACCCTAAATAGACCAGGAAAAGGTGTGTATATTGTGATCCCTGCAGCAACAACTAAAATTAGGAACACATCTACATATGAAAGTAGGAACAATTAGCATATTACAAATTAATTCAGATATTCCAAAAGAAGGCAGGGATTTTGAAACAACCACAAATAAGGGGAGAAATCTGCTTTAAATATAAAGACAAAATATATGTTACAATTTATTTTCTTTTAGATAATATTTTTTAAATGGAGTCTCACTATGTGGCTCTGACTGTCCTGGAACTCACTCTGTAGACCAGGCTGGACTCAGACTCATAGAGATCTGCTTGCCTCTGCCTTCTGAGTGTTGGAATTAAAGGCGTGAGCTGCCACCTGGCTAACATATTATATTTTATAGGATGGAGGCCAGGTTTATTGGTTCACAAGTACAAGTATTGGCAATAGTAGTAACTGATTTCAGAACAAGAAATGTTAACAAGGTTAAAGCAGGGCATGTGTGCTAATAAAAGTGCCAATTTATCAAGCCATGATAATCCTTAATGCAGAATGCACCTGATCATTATGTGTCCATATACACGATGAGACAAGGGGTGGAGCAGGAGGAAGAAATGTCCGAACCTACTTACCTCTCTCCCTTTGGCTGACTGAGGGCACAGAAGGTCTGAACAACAGTGTCAGTCAGTGTGGCCTAAAAGACATCATAGAGTATTTTACTTTCAAACAAAACATAGCATTCTTCTCAAATACATAGCTTCTATTTTCTATGCCTAAAGATAGCCTTAAAAACTTAAAATTTTCAGTTCATAAAAAAGTTTTCTCTGATCAACACAGAAATAAACAGGAATTTAAAACCAAAAAAGTATCTGGGAACTGTGTAGGTGTTTGGAAATCAAGCAACACCTCTAATAAATGGCTCAAAAAGGGGTTTGCAAGGAAGAAGAGAAAATATTGTTCTGAACAAAAAGAGAATTAAATGAAAAGAAGGATCGAGAAAGGGAGGGTGGTGGAATATGGGGATGTGCTCAGACTACGTGCATATACTTGCATGAAAATTGTATTATGTAATCTAATACAATCTAATAATAATATCCCAGCACTTGGTGAAGGAATTAAGATAGACAAACAATTCTTTAAAGAAGAATAAGGTTGGGTCATGGTCAAAGCAGTTTCTGTGCAAACCCAAGAAGCAGAGTTCAGATTCCAGGACCCATATAAATTCCAGGTGTGCATGGTGGCCTGATGGGAGATGGCACTCTGTCATATTGGTTAATGAATAAAACACTGTTGGCCAATAGGAAAGCAAGAGAGGAGGGACTAGGAGACAAGGAGGAAAGAGGAAGTAGGAAGGAGGAGTCAAGATGGAGAGTCTGGAGAGAGCAGGACGACAGCCGGCTCTCCAGTAAGACCACGTGGAAATACATAGAAATGGGTTAATAATTAAGACAGAGCCTGCTGATAAGAAACTAGTACCTGGCCAACAGCATTATATCAAATACGCAGTCTCTGTGTATTATTTGGGGCAGGTGAGGCGGCAGGACAAGACCAGTGGCGGGAGGAAAAACCTTACTCCTTACAGTGGCCACCTGTGATTCAGCCTTGCATTGCAGATATGCAGGTCTCCAGGGTAAACTGACTGTCCAGATGAGACACATCTGTAGGCTCTGGGTTTGAGACCCTTCCTTCATGAATATGGTGGGAAACCAAGGATGATTGCTAGTATCAACCTTGGGTTTCCACACATGTGCAAACCCCACACATGCAAAAACGCACGCACACACACACACACACACACACACACACACACACACACACACACCACATGAAAAAATGGAAAAATAAAAAATAAAGAATGAAGTTGGAGGCATTTGTTACCTGATTTTAAGACTTACTATGGCCACAACTCCATCAGAAGACCCCTACTCCACCAGAGGCCTCACAGGCCACCAGAACCCCAGAGAAACTCTTTAACTGACTGCCCCCACTCTCTCAGTGCCTGCTCAGCCTATCTCCAATTGGCTTGCCCCTCACCACATCCTGGCCCCAACTCAGCAGAGTTCCCTGCTCAATCAGAGGCCACACCAGCCACCAGAAACTCCAGGAAGCCACCTGTCCTTGGACTATCTCCACTCAGTGCCTGTCCAGCCCACCCCCAACCACTCCATCCTCTCTGTCACCATATCCTGACCCCGAACTCCGGTGGAAGATCCCCAGCTAGACCAGTGGCCATGCTGGTTACCAGAACGCTAGCCCCAACTTGGGCAGAAATTCCCTGCTGGATCAGAGGCCTCCCCAGCCATTATAAGTCCAGTCCTCAACTCGTGTGGAGACCTTCCATTCAACCAGAGGCCACTCTAGCCAAAAGACCAGAGAGGAAATAGAAAAGAGGGAATAAAACACCAATCCAACAAAGACAAACACAGAAATCAGCACCTAAACATATAATCACCCCAAACCCAGATGCCTAGATACCAGTGTAAGAATGCAATCATCAAAAGCCAGGGCAATAGCAGCACCACCCAAGCCCAGCAACCCTACTGCAGCAACCCTGAATATTCCAACACAACTGAAGCACAAGAGAAAGACCTTAAAACTATTGGTGTTTAATAAGGATCAGGAGAAACAAATAGGCCAAATAGATGTTTATTCGGGGAGAAATAACTCATAACGTAGACAGATGAACACCAGCAGGTTCCTGGTCCCAAGGATGCCTCTGGAAGTACTCCTGTCCCCATGCAAGCCAGCGAGCTCTCTGAGCCCCTCCCTCAGCTTTAGTTCCCCCAGATCACATCCCCAACGGGCATGGTCTATGCCACAGGTGTGGACAAGGTGAATATCTCACTACTTAATGAAGATGATAGAGGTCCTTAAAGATAAATCCATTAAAGAAATTAAGGAAAAAACAGACAAAAGATTGAAGGAAATGAATAAATCCCTTAAAGAAAGCCATGAAACAAACAAATGGTTGAAGGAAATAAGTAACTGTTCAAGACCTGAAAGTGGAAATAGAAGTAATAAAGAAAACACAAAACAGAAGGAAGTTCTGCTATGGAAAATCTAGATAAGATCAC